GCCCAGAAGCTTTTCCTCTGGCCAAACCTCCCTCCTCGTGTGGCTGGGGGTGCTAAGCGGGCATGATGTCCCCTCCTAGTCCTCCTTGGCCCAGGCTGTCTGAATCTAGCCCACACCAGGCAACTTCTGGGCAGGATCCCTGGCGTTCTCACCTCCAAACTCTCTGACCAAATAGGGCTGCTTCATCGCTGGCTTCTTGCTACGGATGTTCAGCCTCTGAGGAAACATTAGTAATAATAAGAAAGGCTTAGGTCTTCACTCCCCGCCCCACCAGGGTTAACACATTTCTCTACTGATCAAACCAGGGCCGATATTTGTCTCCCTCTGACCTGAGAGCCTTGCGCTAAGCTGGTCTGTTACTGATCCGCTTGAGGGGGTCAGAGAAGCCAGCCTGCTCTTTGGTTTTACACCCAGAGATTTCTGCTTCTGGGAATCTGTCTGAAGGGGGAAAAAATGGTGGGGGGTGGGAGGGGAGAAGTCGATAGAGAAAGGTATCTATTGCAATTCTACTTACAGCAAAAATAAAATGCATATATGCACACCAGCAGCCAACCACGAAGCGCCACGCAACTGTAAACACATTATATTCCACATTAATGCTGAAAAATACTGAGAAAAAAAATAGGACAAATGTTGAATGTTGACAGTTTTGTAAAGAAAAAAGGTTCCATGCAAGAAGCCTCCTTTTTCTCAAAACTGCCAGCAACTGGCATTGGGAAGAAACCTTGAATAACCTTCCTCGGAAAGAGCAAACCCACTGGGCACTGAGCAGACAGACGCAGCTGGGGCGCCCTGGCCTGAGCACTGCGGTGAGGGCAGCTTCCCAGCAGCTCTGTGCTGGGGTTCCTCACAGATGGGAGAGACCGGGAATTAGGACACAGGCAGAGGAAAATGAGAACGAAGGGGACACCGTGTGACAGGGCCCCCCAAAACCCAAGGCACCGGCCGAGACCTGGGGCTCAGGGAGAGTGGCAGTCCCCAAATGGCTGCCCGGCACTTTCTCAAGGACCAGGGACGGCCCCTATACTGTCACCGCCGTGGAAAAGGACCTTCCTTAAGCTGCCGCCTGCCTTCTGGAACCACCCAGAACCATCCTGGCCCCTTGAGCTCACCGTGTCAGTGTTTGCAAACAGCTCTCAATTCTCTCGTTAGGGCCAAACAACTCGGTGGTTCCAGAGTAAACCCCGTCACTGCCCAGTCTCTTGCCCTGGCTGCGGACCCCCCACCCCATCCCCTGGAAGCCCAGCTGGGCTGGAGAAAGCCCACAGGGTGGGGACAGCCCCGCTAACTGAGGCCTGCAGCTGTGAGACCCACACAGGGGCCCAGGGCGCTGTCCCTCGGGGCCCAGTCGGAACCCTTGCTGCCTAGTCCAGGGCAGAGCTGACTCGGCCAGGGTATCGCGTCCATTAAAGGCGTTCTCCCTCCACCCAGGCTCAAACCCCTATTTAAGCTCCTGCAGGTGATGTTTCCAAAGAACTGCACGGTCTGGGCCCCGCCAGACACGGCCCCACTGAGGGGCTCCGAGAAGTAAGTTAGGGGAAAGGAGACGCAAGACAAAAGGACATTATTACGGTGCTTTTACCGTTTTTCTTTTTGCACAAAAACAGTCCATTTATTCAAGTGTTCTCCAGCACAAGTACATTAGAAAGGAGCTTTATTATATTCTTCTGGGCACAAAAAAATGTGATGAAGGCGGAATTGACAGACTTTCTACATCTGCTGTACGCATTGACCTCTTTAATTATTTCATAAACAGCTATGTCACAAGCATCACTTACACAGAGATACAACAGGACACCAGGGAACAGGGAGGGGGACCCCCTTGGGGCCCCGCGCACGCGCCCCTCCCCGGATGTCCCAGAACCAGACTGTGAAATGTACATTATTATTGTCAATAAATAGAGAAGCAACCCTAAAAAAAAATACAGTGGTGAAAGGATGCTGGAACCAGGAAAAACAAAGGCAAAAAGAGGAACCGAAGAGAAAGGTTCAGGGGCCGGGAAGGGAAGGGCCGGGGAAGGCCTGCATTAGCTGCGTGGAATGTGAAGTGCTCTGCCGCCGGGGTCAAAGCGAAATCGTCTGTAACAGTAAAAGTTATTACCAAATCAGCTACGGAGTTTATTCTTCAGTATGAATACATGATTTCCCACAAATAAGTAAGCACCCGCTACTTCAATGCCTCAGCTAAAACACATGAAATCTCTCATTTAGTTTTCAAGTACAAAGTTAAAATGCCTTTTTAATAATAATATATCAGAGTAAAATAATAGTCTCTTTTAAACTCCACTACAAGAAAACAAAACAAACAGTCATTGTCCAGACAGCAGACTTAATTTAACAATATATATTTTTAATAAAATGTTTTTAGCACCTTGTTGAGTCACCTCCTCCCGCTGCGTATTCTAAGGAATTTCGGCATTTTTTGTCTGTTGAATTCTGGGGCTGGGCCACCCAATTGTCTGGAAGCGAAATGGGACTAAGGTGAAGCTCTGATTCCCTGCTCATCGCCTCAGGTACAGGGCCGGGCCACTGGACAAGGGGCCGGAGAAAGCCACCTCCCAGCCCTGGCCCTCCAGTGGGGCAGGGGACAAGGGGGTGCAGGGCGTCCCCACTACTGGAGCCCCAGCAGCCCACCGGCTCCTCGGCTGGCCTCTGCTGGGGGCATGAGCTCTCTGCTGGACAGGGACTTTCCAACCTGGTCCTCACTGTTCCAACCTACTCTCCCTCCCCTCCAGATTCCACTGCCAGACCAGGAGATCACCAACCCTAGGCTTGTCCTACCAGGTCCACACAGCCACCGGGGGCTCGCTCCCCAAGGCCCCCAACCTTCTAAAAGGTAAAGATTCAAGAGCTCTGGCAGAACAGTGGGATCCATCCTCTGAGCTGGTCTCTCTCCTCCCAGATCCCGCAAACACTGCCGCAAACACTGCCTTTAACCAGTGCCTCAGCAGCCAATGGCAGATGAGGCTGGTTCTAGGGCCGCCTGCCTGCCCACCCCCCCCCAACACATCTTTCCACCCTGGGGTGCAGGCAAGGCTTCAGCTGGTTCCTGGCCTATCACCAGCCCTGAAACAAGCACACTAGACAAGGCCCGAAAACAAATCCAGATTCCTCTCCTCCTGGGGTCAAAAGGGGTGCCTGGCTAGAACTGGTTCTCACTAGAATCTTGGCCCTGCAGCACCATGTGAAGGCAACAGCCAGCCCCTTTCAGGTCACTGTGGCCGGCAGGCCCCCTACCGGCTCCCTGGAAATGCTGTGCCACAGCAAGTCTGCACCAGAATTCAAAGCTGCCCCCAAATCCACGGTCTGTTCTCACATAACTGGGGTGAGGAGACTCCTGACCGCAGCTGTCCAGGGGACCATTTCCCAGGTGGCGCCACTGAAGCTTTCCTTCCTTGGCTCCTGCAACAGGCTTTCCTGTGCTGGAGAGTGGGTTACTCCCAGGCAGGCTTCCCCAGCACTGCCAGGAGGCCAGGGGAACGGTCTTCACTCAACCCTTCCTTCCCAGAATGCTTGTTCCAGTCAGCACCCCAGGGGTGCAGCAAAACGGGGACCCCCCCCCAGCCAACCACTCCCAGCTGTAGTCACAAGCTAAGATACCCCAGACGCTCTGAGGGCAAGCCCCCTTTCTAGAATCACACCCAAAAGAAAGAGGGTTCTGGGGTGGTGAGTAAACAGTGACACCCTCTCACCTCCACCCTCAGCTGCTGCTCCCCAGTGACTGGCTCCCAAGGGGGAGGGGTCAGCACCAGCCAGCTGGGAGCCCACAGCTGTCTGCTGGAGACCAGCTTCCTCCTCAGCGGGGCTCAGGGCTTGGTGACCTTACACCAGCATGCCCCTTTCTCCCTCAGACCAGAGCCACCCTCTTGGCAACGTTTGTCAGCTAGTCAGCGAGGCATCTTCCTGACCCCTAGTTCTGGAGCAAACAGGCCTGCTGTTGAAAAAAATCCCATGGGGAACATAATCCAGAATTTTCCCTGGGCCTTCCTGGCTTTTCCCACTTCACTGCCTCTATCAGTCACCACAAGTGCAGCAGTCCGCCTCGCTCTCCAGGCCCTGCCTCACCCTGCGGAAGTGCAGCTCCTTCAGGTGACCTGTCCTGTCCCCAGAAACCACGGGGGGGGGGGGTGGGGGTGGAGAGCATCCCATTAGCACATTCTCAAGGTACCCTGTACCCTGCCAACTTCAACTGGGGGGGCCAAGCCCATGAGCTAGATGGAAGAAAAGCTGGCAATGAACTCACATACCAGGAAGTGGTGTCTGGCTGCCTGGGCCTAAACAGGTTGCCTGACCTGGCCACCTGCCCTCTAGTATCAGCCACAGAACTTGGCCTCCTGAGCAAGCTAGAAGCCCACGCTGATTCCTCAGGCTCACCAGGCCCTTGGCCATGCCAACTCCCTAGGTAGAGCCCGGACCCCCCAGGAAAGGCAAACTCCTTCACATGAGCAGTAGACAGAAGCCTAGAAGAACCAGAAGAGCTGGTGTCTTTGTGCAAAGTGGCACTCAAGAGATGTCCTGACACTGAGGCTGGTAACACCTTGGCATCGGCCGGCGGGGAGGGAGCACCTTGGACTGCCTTGAGGCAGCCCTCCTCCCCCCAGCCCTCCTCAGGTGGTGCTAGTGGACGCCAGGCCAGGAAGATGGACCCTGGCGGGAGCAAGGAGGGGATGGGTGAGCACCGCAGCTGGGGATGGGACTCCCACAAGAGAGGGGAGAGGTGTCGCCCCTCCTAGCTGCCCGGCCCCACACCTGCCACCTTGTCCCAGAGCTGGCCCTAGAAGCAACTGGGCATGACCTTGACCCATCTGACAAGGGACTAGAGCCGGGTCCAGGACGAAGCACCCAAAAACAGGAGTGGGAGGCAGAGGCCACCAGCTGTGAGCTCTTCTCCTGGGCGACAAGCAAGGGAATCAAAGCCTTGGTTTGGCTGTGTCCAATTGCTAATTTGCTTCATTCCAAAGATTGAGGTTCACCGTCCCACTTTTTATTTTTTTCCCCAATGAAAGCCCCTAGCCAAGACAGACTTGGATGCCAATTTTATTTTGGTTGGGGGAGAATAGGTAGGGGGAGTTGAGGGCTGACTTGACTGGTGCCTCGAGTTGCAGGTCAGTGTCACAGGTTGCTAACAGAAGAATCTTGACATCACCAGGGGCAAAAGAGATAGAATGCTACCTGCTAGAGGAGAGCACCTGCTAAAATAAAACCTCCTCCTTTCCCTGCCTTCAGCACCTAGCAACTTCTGGGATTGACAGTCTACCTGCAATCAGGGCAACAGAGGTAAACAGCTGCAGGGCCGACTCCACAAAGTCCTGAATCCTGGGGAGAACAGCACCGGGAGCCCCCTGGCTGTGTGTGTGTGTGTGTGTGTGTGTGTCTGAGTGCATGTTATGCATCCATATAGAAATAGGTTCCTGTGTGTGCATGTGGGATTGATTAGTGTGGGGCTTATGTCTGCAGTGGGGTCGGAGGCCCAGCACTCTGAGCCACCCTGCCCCGCTCCCCACCACATAGTATTTCTTATACACGACCCTATCTATGTATTTATATAGCGCCTATCGCCATAGGCCCATCTTTCTAGGGATGCGAACTCGAGACCGTGTGCTCCACAGCACACCTCCCAGCTCTGCCAGCCCCAGGAGGTGCCACCCCTCCCATTATAAAATATATATCTCTATATGCCACATATCTACACCCCGTCTATTCAGGCAAGCATCTGCCCAGTGGGCCCTCACCCTGGAGCCACCTCTGCCGTCCCTGCCCATCGCCAACGCCAGGCTGCCAGCTTGGCTGGAAGAGAAGCAAAGGCGTGCAGGGGGCTCCAGGTGCTGCTGACTCCGTCAGAGCACAGCCAGCATCAGACCAAGTACTAGAAAAGAAACACACACCACTCCAGTCACACACGCGAGGGGAGACGCCCTGGCCCTCCCCCGGCCCTGACACACGCGACTCGAGAGGAGGGAAGTAGAAGAGAAGAGGACGCCGGAAGGCCGCCCCGCTGCCGCGGCGCCCGGTGGCCCACCTGGCCCGAGGGGGGAGCCAGGGCACCAGGGCCACCAACTAGAAGCACCCTGCTCCCCGCACCTTGGTTTGAAACCTAAAGGGAGGGGTGTTGGGTTTTTGTTTTCCTAAAGAAAAATCTGAAAACAAACGTAATTATAACCAGAACCCTAAGAATAATGATAACGTAAGGTGTCGTCAGCCTCCCAGTATAAAACTGCAGCCTTTGGAGATGACCAAAAACATCGCATTCCAGGGGCCACGGCCACCTTGTGCGCAGAGGGGGGTGGTGGGGCCTCATAAAAGAACACACAAAAGGCGACTTAGACAGGAAAGCACCAGTACATTTTGTATGTTTTTTTATTTGCCCAGGTGGGGTTTGAACTGTCACTTCCACACGCTGGATTACTTCTGATCCCACACAAGGAGCCCACCCGTCGGCAAATGTGAGAGATGGGGAGTGAAGACCCCTAATCCTGCCATCTCGCCGAGAGGGGTCTCCTTTTAGAAAAAAATCAAAAGGTTATTGCGTGAGCCTGGATGAAATTCCACTCTCAGCTTTCCACGGTCCCCACCACCTCATTGTACCCCCCTTTTTTGGCAGAGAGAAACGGGAGAGTGCTGTCCCCAAGTGCTTCTCCTTCACCTTGTTTTTTTAAAAAGCAAGGGGAAAAAGAGCCTCCAGGATACCGGCTTATCCTCAAGCTGTCTCCCTTTCTCCATCCTTGATTAAAACCCTTTGCACATAAGGCAACGTGGAAGCTGATGTTTTTACTCATCTCGCTGTTTTAAAGCACCATTTTGAAGTCAGGTTGTACAGTAGTTAACAGTACCTTTTATATATATATCTCGTATCTATCATATATATATAAACTGTAAACAAGAGGTAACAGCGGCTTCTAGAAACTGGTTTTCTTCAAGGTTTCCTGTGTGGTAGGCACCTGAAATACTGTAGAAAAGGGTCTTGGTGGTGTTCTCGTCTCCCTGCTCTAGATGGGTTCTGCTCTTCAAACCAGGAATGGTGCTGGCAAGAGGCTTGGGGCTGGGGGGGGCCCCGCTGCCCAAGCGTCCTGCAATTTTCTGTCCCCTGCTTGTGCTCCTATCTGATCAGGCCAGAGACAACAAAAGATATATAGTTAAAAAAAAAAAAAATCCAATATATAGATTTCTATAGAATTTTTTTTTCTCCCTCACTCCCATCCTTCCTCTGCAAGGTATTGTTACTAATTTTTCTTATTGACTTTTTTTTTTCTGCAATTAACTCTTTTCAGCCACAGCAAGAAACAAAAACCCAAACAAACAGAAAACCCCTCTGAAAAGAATAGAAAACAAAAGGTTTGACCAAAAAAGAAAAAAGGGGGGGAGGGGCGTGGAGGGAGGTTGGTTTTGTTTTTAAATAGGACTGAGATTAACATTGAAAAAACCAGGAGATGATGTCCAACCCTTTCGCAAGGCAAAAAGCCCTCGGTGTTTCCACCTCTGGTTTTTGTTTTAAATTCCTTTTTCTCTTCTGGGTGCTGATACTTCTCTCCATCCTCATGTTCTTGGTGTTTTTGTTGTGTTTTGTGTTTTTTGTTTGTTTAACTTTGTATCACTACCTCAGTTTGCCCTCATGTCCCTTACACACAAGCAAAATATTCCTTCAGCGGAGCGAAGAGGTGGCGGATGACCGGCACGCTCCAGGACCGGCCCAGCAGTCTCTGCCTCGCCAAGCGGCTCATGTTGGAGACGTCGGTATAGTGGACAGGGAAGCCAAACACCCTGGGGAGACAAGGCGTAAGGGCAGCGGTGAGCGCTGGAGCGGTCATCCCGCGCAGTCTCTGGCCGTCAGGGCTCGCTCACCAACTCTCGGGCCGCCAGCCACCGGCTAGGCTCCTGGCTGCTGGGTCTAGAGATTTACCAGAGTGAGTATGCTTGACCCTCGCACACCACGGGGGTGAGCGCCAAACACGGCATCAAAAATCTGAGTGTAATTCTACTCCCCAAAACTTTAGCTGGTGGTCAGCTGCTGGCCAGAAGCCTTGCAGTTAAGAGAAAGCTCCGAGCTCACGTGTACATGCTGTGGGCACCAAGTACTGCATTCCGCCACGGCCAGCTAGAGGCAGACTCAGGAAATCCCGAGAATGCACATTTACAGCAGTGCTGCTGCCTTACTGGCCTCTACGTTTGTGGTTGTAAGAAAACCCATGTGACTGGATCCGGGCAGTTGCTGAAGGGTAAAGTGTGTGCAGAACACTTCCAGGCAGGCTCCACCCGAGATTAGAGGCCTCGGGGACACCTGGAGTCAGTGTGTGGTGAATATGCACTCAAGACTCCTCGTCTGCAGGAGAGCAGACCGTGAGGGCCAAACCTGCTGTGAGTGGTCTATCTAAACCCTGGTTCCACCCAGAGGGTCCGTGTTCCTAATGCCCACTGGCCAGGTGCACACCACCTCAGGTGCTGAGGCTCAAGCCCACTGGGGCTCTGCTGGCCCCACTGGCAAAGCACACAGGCCCCAGGCAAGCACTGCAAGAGTCTGGGAGTGGCTATTGCTGCCACGTCCCCTCAAATACTGAAGGGCCTGTCAGCCTGGACATCGGGGGCTGATTCTAAGTCGCCTCGCATTCTGGGCCTTTCCCAGGAACCTGCCATGCTGGGAAATGTGTGGCTAAGCCCCGGCTCACACCGTACTTGGAAGATGCATGCCTGCTGGCAGAGGCAGAGCCGTCGGGACCTAGAGCCATGACCCCTCAGCCCAGTACCTTTCCATTTCAGTGCACCATAAGATGTCCTCTTTCTCATTCATGAAGACGGGGAAATGCTGGTCTTTGCCCTGCTTTATGGAGTTCGACCTAGTAGTGATGGTCCTCACTTTGCTGAACTAGAAGATGAAGAGAAGAGAGGTAAGCACTCATTCCCGGTCTTGAGGGGGCAGTGCCTGTGCCAGCCTCCGGTCAGAGCTGGCTCCAGCTCCCAGAGGCTGGCCACCCAGGGCACGGGCTGGGTGCAGGTTCTGGTCAGGAGCTGCCGCGGACCCACTGCTCTGCCTTCTTGCCCGCTGTGAGGTCACCTGCCACCCCCAGTCTCCTCCCTGTTTGCCCAGAACTTGGAAGTGGCTTCCAAAAAACCGGTCCTTTGCATGCACAGTGACATGAAAGCAAAAGGACGTCACAGTACCCAGGGCCAAGACGCCTGAGTGCCAACAGCCCAAGTGCTGCCTCTGCGCTGGCAGAACCTGATGCCTGGTGCACTGCCGCCATAGATGCCCCCAGAACAAGGGCATGTCTGCCCCACAGGAGAACTTCTGCCCCCAGGGCTCCTGCCCTAAAACCTAGAAGCCCACATGGCTATCAGGACCTTGGCAGAAATGTCTTAGTGTCAAGCTCACAGGACAGTGCTATGGACCATGTGGACAAAGAAGGGCAGAAGCCAGGACTCTTGCTCTCACTCCCTGCCCTCTAGGTCTCCCCCTGGACTCTCCCTTTGGGAGCATGGCCCCCAAACCAAAGTGTACATGACACTCTCCATACCAGTTGTGCCCACCGGGCCCTAGAGGGCAGGCAGGACAACACCCTGGCCCTGCTAAAGTCCATCCTGCCCTCTGCCCTTCTCCCTGCCCTCCCCCGGCAGTGGGCTTGGGTGCTGGGCTAACCTTGGCTATTCTGCCATGCTCCAGACACTCCTGCAGCTCCAGCTTGTCATTCACAGTGGATGCCAATGGCCTAGGAGGCAGAAGGGAGAAGGTAACAACCAAAACCAGCAGGAATGTGCCCAGGGCCACTGACCTCACGAAGGCTGAGCAAAACTTCCTGTCACCCACTCTGGGATCCCTTTAAACTCCCCTAAAACACACGAACCACACACGGTAGCCATCCTATGGACACATCCCCCGAATCTTCCATCTGAAAGCAAAATCTGAAAAGAAGGCAAGTAACGCCTGTCCAGAGGGGAAGACCCGATTATTTTACACAAAGCAAGCTCCATAGTGACGGCAGGTTCTGTTTCTTGACTGGGATGATAGTTATGTTGATATGCAGTGGGCTAAGATTCACTAAACTCTACACCCTCTGCTGCTGGAAGCCCAGAGTTCTAGAATTCTATAGCTCGAAGAAGCTGGGCCCCACAGGGCCCAGTCTGTCAGGAGATGCCCAGTCCATGTCCTCCCTGCAACAATGGACTTACGTGTAGCACACTGTCCCAGCACACACACACAGCGTAATTTGGGCACTTAGGAGCCACAGAGTTTCAGATCAGATATACCAATGACCTTTCCACCAATAAGCCTGGCAAAAATGGAAGTTTCACCAAGTAGGTATGAGGCTGGGGAACCTTCTGTAATCCCAGGTTAACAGCAGAGAAGACAAGGAGAAGACTGAGGTCAGGATGAGATGAGATGTTTTGAGTTGGAGTGATACCAATGAGGTTTAAAATCCATACTCAAAACATTCTGGAGAAACTCCTAACAAATATCTAAATTGGGTGGATTGCACTGCTTGACTTTTTAACAGTAATATATTCCAATTTTCCCCAAGAACTCATTCATAATACTTGTGAACAAGAATTTGAAATTTTGGAAATCGTAAAACACAGACTTACAGTATGACTCAATAATTTTTTAGCAACTCCAAAAGCAGTGTTACACCTCTAAAAATATGGTGACATACACTCCTAAGTCAACTTCCTTAAAAATGAAAGAGTTAAACTCACTAACTTAGGTTATACTCAGTCCTAAATTAACTCCACTGCTTCTGAACTGCCAACTCAACCACGACTCCTTACTCTTTTAAGAGTCTAATGATGTAATTATTATACCAAAGAAATGGAATTTTTTCATTCCTGAATATTAAAATCTGTGTGGCCTCAACAAAGAGCACCTTCCAGCGAGGGGCCTGAAGCCAGTTCGGGCAGCACCCACGGATCTGGTGCTGCCTGGAGCCCCCAGCCATCCTTGGCCTCTGGCGCCTCAGTGCTCATGCTGGAGCCAACTCCGTCACACAGGGCATGCCGCTTCTTTGACAGACGAGTCAACTTAAGACCAGCTACTGGTTTCTCAGGCAAGCCTTTGCTGTGCGCCAACTCCCTCCTCTGCAAGGAGGACAAAGGGGAGCCTAACCAAGCATGGATTTTCAGCAGGAGGGGCTGTGACCCTCCAGCCTCAGGCCATTGCCACCTGCTGGCACCACCCACCCCGCAGGCCCCAGGACGGGTGCGCTCACCAACCTGTTCATACCGGGAAGGTTCCCCCAGAAGTAGCGGGCCCTGTGTGCAGCTGACACTTCTTTGGCATCAATCATCACAGGGTTGGACTACAAAGCAGAGATGCAAGATGAGCAAAAGGAGGACAGAACAGTCAGGTGCCAGGAAACCTCGCCAGTCTAGAGCCGTAACACACAGACTCTTGCTTCCCCCTGGGGGGCCACCTGCTGGGACAGCTGCCTCCAGGAAAAGCCAGAACTGCACATGCTCCCCTGGAATCCGGAGACCGACTCTGACAGAAGTTCTGATGCCCTCCCCAGTCGTCCCTAGCACTCTAGCTCTCGGTGGCTAATGACACCTGCAATGGGGCTAGTGTGACATGCTATTTAAGGCATGGCCGATGGCTGCCGGACTGGACCACAGAGCTCTAGCTCGCCGAAGCCTGGAGGAAGAAAGTGCCAGGGGTTGGGGATAAGGTCCCAGTGCAGCCGGATGACAGCCAAGTAAGATACCCAAGCCAGGACCACCAGCTGAGGTGTTAGTGACCCTAGATACGGGGAATAGAAGCAGGAGTCATTTTCTTCCCAGGTGCCGTCTGAAGCATGTCTGGGTGCCATGGAGTAAGGATGAGCCATCTGGGCAGGAACTCAACTTCGGCCCCAGCAGCCTGGAATCCTGCTTAATAACCGTCAGGTCCCTTAGCCCTGAGCCCCACATGCCGCCTACTAGAGCGAGATCCTGGGTTCTTTCCAGCGTGAGCCTCTAAAAGGCTTCTACCCTTCCTAACAGGAAAGCCCTGAGCTTCCCCAGTGGGCCCCTGGCAAAGAAAGCAGAAGTCCCCAGTCCCCAGCTCCACAGTGCAGATGAAACAGGAAGCAAGCTGCAGTCCAAGGCAGACGCCACTAGTGAGCCGGCCAAACCAAGGTTGCTGGCTATACCTCGAGAAATCGCGAGATGTCCCTCTTGTCACTAACGCCCATGGCCACCACATTCTCAAAGAGCCAGAAGAAGGGGCGATCATCTCCCTCCTTGGGCCGCGCATCATGCAGGAGGCGGTAGAACTCAAAGAAGAGCCGGCCAGTGCCCTCTGAGAGGTTGGAAGAGAAAGCCGTCAGCTGGGCTGTCTGCAGGAGACAGTGGTGTGGCTCGGGCACGGGGAGGGGAGAGGATGGGCGTGGGGAGTAGCCGACCCCGGGCAGAAACCTCCAAGTAGGAAATCTATGTGCTCAAGCACCAACTCAGAGGTGGGGGGCGAGCAGACACATACCGTAGAGTCCCTTGCGGGCAGGGTTGACGATGGAGAGATCATTGCAGGGACTGCCCCCAATCACCAGATCGAATGGGCCCCACTCCTGGATCTGGGAGGATAAAGGTAATGTGATGGGCTTGATGTCCGGGGACAGAGGCAGAAAGGAAAAGAGAAATTATCTGTGAATTTGGCAACGGCACGGGAGTGGAGCCCCAGCTGTGTTGTATGCTCACGTCACTCACACACGCATGCGTGCGTACATGCCCTGCGGCCTCAGGCTAGGCACTGACTCTGGGCTCAATTTTCTAAACAGTGAGGTGAGGGAACAGAGTGGGTGGGTCTGAGGTCAGTGGGGAAGGTCATGCACTCTTCTCAGCAGAGCTGTGCTGGTTAGGAGGCGGCCAGGCTGGACACCTGGCTGAGAAGGGGCTTTAAGCTCCCTGCAGTTTGGGCACAGGATGCAGGATACCCGAACACATCAATGCCCTAAAGGCCACTGAGGGGTACATGCAGGTAAGTGGAAGAGCCCCCCGAGAAATGGACGCTGGTAAAGCTGTCACCAGAAGTACTGAGAGGCATGGAGCTTGGCTCCAAGCCAAAGCACCCCACCAGAAAGGGCCCTGAAATTAGCCAGGAAGCAGCTTGATCCCAAACAGGGAACCCCCCTTATTCCTGCTACCCTCTCAAAACTGTGGAAAAGGGGAAACGAGACAGAGGCTGGGGTCGTAGGGAAAAGAGCAAATCAACAAGAAGAAAGTGGGCCGGTGTCACCCCCAGTGAGTGCAAGGGAGAGAGGGCGGGACGGCCCCCAGCACTGACATACATGCTTCTGTGTGACGCTGCGGACGTCCCCGACGTACATGATCTTCCCTTGGTGCCGCACCATGCCCACTGTGATGGAGTCCTCGCACACCTCCGAGGCGATGTAGCGATCCACCTGAATGCCCAAGTCCTTCAGCACCAGGAGCCCTGTCCAGCCAGCAAGAAGCATGCACGGTCAGGGGTCGCCTCCCCAGCACTCTGGTCTTCACACGGGAGCCCTCTCACCAGTTGAAGATGTGGGTCCCCGCCTACCCGCCTGCCCACTAAGCTGCAGGATGCTTCTGGATCAAACTGGAGTGTTAAGTGTTAACAGCCCCATCTGCTTAGAAGGCAGCCCAGGCTGGGAAGGACAGATCAGACAGCAGGTGGTCTTAGGAGCCAGGGGAAGCAGGTGACCTTTCCTGGGCTGTTTTCCTCATGCACACTGGTTCTTTCTCACTCCACTCCATTTCCCCTCCTGCTGCAATTCTTCCAGCCTTCAGTACCCAACAAGGGCGCCACCTGTTCCAGGAAGGATTCATCCACCCACCCCCAATCACCTCCTGCTCCATGAGCCCCAGCACCTGGAACCCCTCCGCTCAGCAGGTTCTAATTCAGCCCTTCTGGTTGCAAATGGTCTCCAGCACAGAGTAGCCTCCTCAGCTAACCACACGGCCCTTCCTACCATGACCCTCCATGAGTGTTAGCTGATCTGAGCAAGGAAAAGAATGAAACAGACTGAGTGCTTCAGAAGAGACTGTGGTGGCACCATTTCCACAGCTCCCACAGACCTCCCCAAGAAGAGCTGGTGCCCCCCTGGGTGCGACACAGTTTAAGGAGGCCTCAAGCTTCCAGCCTGGGAACCATGCAGTGAATTGCCCGAGTTTCCACAACACGACAGCGAAGACAAAGCCTCAGCCTGGGAACCCACCCGCTAGCCAAGCCCCCAATAGCATGCTAGACCCTTCCTTTACGCACGGAGCCTGGGGGCGAAGGGGGATGTGGTATGTTAGCGCAGCTTCTCAGGGGAAGATTTACAGCAGGTCAAGAACCCTGTGAGGGAAATGGCACCTACACCCCACATGCTGTCAGCAGTCCCTCAAGGGTGACAACTGAAGGTATGAAGACCCATACGAAGCACGCTCACTATGGCGTGGAGAGTCAACAAAGCAGGATTAAATAAACCAGGGTGCTTAGTGTCGCGTTTACAAACAGAGCCCAGCTCTGGGGGAGGGGGCGACATGAAAAGCTGGACAACACGTGCAGAACACACGTCACCACACAGCACGTGCTCAGTAGCCCTCTGTCTTATTTTCCCTGTGATTCTACCAACACTCATACGTGCTCAGAAAGACACACGCCAGACACCAGTTAAGGGATCCACACTCATCCCGGTACTCTGAGACCATGGGTTTAGAGGGTTTCTACTGGGACTCGACGATCAAACAGAACCGCCTGTTCTGCCGTGGACACCGGTTTTGTGAAAATCCCCAGCGACCTCTCACCGGCCACCACGCGGCCCTCTGCCTGAGTCTCCTCTGTCAAGCAAAGGACGCGTCAGACACCCGGTTCAGCACTTCACTGAACACGAGCCTCCCCTCCAGGGTGCTATCTCAGGTGTCGTGTCGATCACTGTTTGGCCAGAGTTTTACACACACACACAGCCCGCAGAGCCTCCACCTCCAGACAAGGATGCAGGCACTTGGGGCCCAGGCCACCTCACCTGTAGCAATCCCATCAAAAAGAGACAGCACCCGGATGGGCTTCCTCTTCTCAGCTGGGACAGGTGGGTACACTTTCGGGGGGTCCTAGGCAGGAAGCAGAACAGGCCGATGAGCACCCAGGGGTGTCCACAGGAGGGGCTGCCTGCCAGCCAGACCCTCACACCCAGCCAGCACCTGGGGCTCCTCTGCTCACCGAGGGCCCACCCCACCACCTCGTGGGTCAGGAGCCAAAGAGCTCAGGACCCAGGCCCAGCACTCACAAACTCCTGGTCGTGGTTATTGGCGAAGAACATCTGCAGCCGGGAGGGCCAGTCGTCCCGCCGCCGCAGCAGCCCGTAGGTGCCCTTGTGCCCGCACATGTAGCAGTTCCAGGGGTCCTCCTTAATGGCGGCCTGGGCGGCCCCCGGCCCCACCAGGAGATCCACACACTCCACACAAAAGCACCTGGAAGGAGCCCAGCATGGCGGAGGGGCCTCAGGTCCAGGCCCAGGGGAGCACGGCTGCGGCCCCAGCGGGACTAATAGTGAAGCCCAGGACTGGTGGGGGATGGGAGGGGGCGCGGGGAGGGGCTCTCACCTGCAGCAGTTGTTGTTCCCACACATGAGCACCTCACGCCCCCCACAGCAGATGGTGCAGTAGGACTGGTAGCCGTCGTCATCGTACTGATATGCACACTCCAGGAAGCAGTTCTGAGGGCAGCAGGAAGGTCAGAGACCAGCAGGCAGGGCCGAGGGTCGTCCAGGGACACCAACTTTAGGCTCCCATCTAAGAACTCGGACCTAGCCCTGAAGCCGCGACCCTAGCACCCATGCGGGCGGGGTCCAGCCCAAACCACGGACCTGGGTCTGGGACACCAGGTCTCCTAGACCAGCTGCAGTAGACAGAAGAAGGGCGGGAGCAGCAGCCCCGTCCCTGGCTGGGCTCCTGGGGCCCAAGGGCCATCAGACTGTTCTTCACACCAGTGATTGTGAAGAGCCCCATCGGGGGACTTCGGGGGAGGGTGGGGCCTTTGAGGTGGGGAGGGTCTTTCAGAGGAAGCGGCCTATCAGGCAAGCACTTGATCCTAAGTCCAGAGCCAACACGCAGCCACCCCAGGCACTGCCCTATAGGCCCACACCTGCCGAGAAACCCACCTTGCAGTTTTGGCACATTCCTCCAATGAAGAGAGGGTGTTCCAGGGTGACGTTGAGGCTCCCACAGGAGATGCAAATGTCTGGGAAGCAGAGAAGTGGGGTGAGACTGAAGAACCTGTTCCTGGATCAGGCCAAAGCCCAGCTCCAGGAAAAAAGCCAGACATAACAATGGGCACGCTGACCAGCCCCTGAATAGGCAAGCAGTCTGCAAGGTGACCCTAGGAACAGCAGGACCCCAGCCTAGATCCCAGCCTCTCCAAGCAGCAATGCTGCCAATCCAGGAGCACAGTGACCTGGCAAAGACACTGGGCCAGCTGCACATCCTGGCCCATCCTTCCCCGCCCCAGAAGCCCGAAGCCAAATACACACACACACACACACACACACACACACACACACACACACAACTAGGCCAAAGGAGACTGGCAGGGACACGCCAATGGCCACTGACCAGGCAAGTTCAATCAAATCCTAAAGGAGTGTGTGTCCCAGGCCAAACCCGGTGACCAGTCCATGCCAGCAACAGGCCAGTGAGAGTATAGCATGGGGAAAGCAAACAGGGGGACATGCAGGACAGAGCATCATGGGGCACCAGTGACTGTGCCGGTCACCCCAGGATCGGCTACTCTGCACAGGAGCCAGCCTGCATGCGACCCAGGGGCACAGGCCGGACTTCCCAAGGGAGCAGGCCTCACACCCTCCAGACTCACCCTCGATGTTCCGGCACTTCTGCCGCACCTCGTACACCAGCCGCTCTGCGGAGGGGAGAAGGCCCAGCATCAGAGGAGGCTGCAGGGGCCACCCCACTCCTCTGAATGCTGGCCTCGCCGCAACTCTCCAGAGCCAGGCCAACTACCTCTTGTGCGCTCATCGATAATCTCCTTGACCTTGGGCTTCTCCGTTGTGCTCTTTCGGGGTTTTTTGGCTGGTGGGGGTGGTGCATAGGCTGCTGCCTCAGGTTCGACCCACATGTCTGTGTAAACTTCTTTGTAGGGGTTCTTCTCCTCTGGATCAGGAAAGCAGGTTGTAACAAGGTCACGTTTACCTGCTGACAAGGAATCCAGCTCCCTCCTCAACTCTGTTCTCCCCACAGTGTGGCAAGGCCTGTGTCTGTCCCTCCTTCCTACTCCCACTCTCATGTCAAAGGAAGCAGGTTGTTCTGACCTGGGGTGGGGGGGTGGGGGGACATCCCCCCAGGGGATGCCCTTAAACTTGGCTCTCCCAGCTCTGGCAGGGATCTGCATGGCCAGCAGGGGGGTCCCAGAGGCAGGGCTGCGCACTGGCTTACCTTCTGGGGGCTCCAGGCCCTTGGGACCAGAGGGCTGGAACCCCCCCAGGGCCCATTCAATCATCTGTTTGTTCTGCACCTCCACAGCCTTGGCAGTGTCGCTCTCGTCGCTGTCATGGCACGCTGGGAAGAGCTTCCCTGCACGGCTGCTGGCCACCTGGAAGGCAACGAGCGAGGCGGTGCTGTTAGGACAAGCTGGAGGGCAGACCCAAGAACCGGGAAGATCAGTAAGATCATGGCACCAGAAAGGGGGCCAGGCCAAGTGGGAAATGCTGCAGAAAAGGGGGAGGAGGTCTGAGGAGAGTGTGAAAGTGGAGAGCAAGGGGTGGGGAGAGGGAACCCAAAGGGCCTGGGTGGGGCACAGGGCTGCCTAGGCCTAACCCTTGCGCTCCAGCTGGGGCCAAGCAGAGGCAGGTCCTCATCTCTCATCTCCCTCTTCCGAGTGCTTCCAGGGCAACTCACCTGCAAGACTTCATAGATAGCTTTGCGGTACATGGGCTGCTTGTTGTAGGTGGCCTGGTGGAAAGCGCTGCAGAAGGAGCTCAGTGGCATCAGCTTCTCCACACACACCTGGAGTGACAACCATGCCCGCATCTGCTCCCACTTCCACTCTCCCAGCAACCTCCACCCGCCTGGACATTGGCTGGGGGGCAATTAGACTCGACCTCTCTGCCCTCAGGGACTAGTCACGCTGGTGACCACTTGGTGTGCTGCAGAGGAGAAGCCCAAGTGTGTGGGGAGCGCCTGCTTGTAGGCAAGAAAGGGCTTCTGGAGGCAAATCCGGCAGCCAGCACGCTGGGACCCTCAAGGCACTCTAGCGACCTGTAGGCTTTCACCCACCCATATAGGTCCAGAGTTAGGGAGAGCTGGGCCCTCTTCTACCACCCCAAGTCCCAACCATGCCCCCCAGCCAAGACCACAGGCCCTGTCACCAAGACTCCCCCCACCCCCTCAGGCTATCCTCATTGCCCGAACTCACCACTGAGAACTTGCCGTCTCCGAACCACATGACCCAGCGGGTGCCTTCAGCTGCTCGGCTCCGGCCCGTCATCCACCAAGACACAATGCGGCCTGGCCACCAGGAGAAGCCCCGCAGTTTCCCCCACACCAGCTCGCCAATGCCGAAGCCCCGGCCGTCCTGGAGCGCCAAGCAGAAATCATTAGGCAGTGGTCAAGAGGCCCTGCCACCTGGCCCTGGGCATATGCGGTCAGGGCGCTTTCATCTGAACGGACCAAAACAGCAAAATTGGGGGGATAAAAGGCTGGGGGGGGGTCAGTGAAGAAGGAAGCACGGAGGATGGCAGGAGCCAGCAGTGGAAGGACCCTGGAGGGGCGGAACGAAGCAGCGAACAAGCAGGGCGCTCACCTCGTACTCGGGCTCGTCATCAGCCGCTTTGGTGGCGTTCTTGTCCCCGGTGTCGGCCCCCACAGGCTCAGGCGTGGTGGCCACAGTGGGAGAGGCAGGGTCCGTGGGCTGCTGCACGGCAGGAGGGCTGGCCTCCTCCACCTTCTGCGACTCGCCAGATCCCTGATTTTCTTCCACAGCATTCATTACTGCGATCACCTTGGCTTTCTTCTCAGCCTAGGCAAGCAAGGGGCAGAAGCTGCCTTCACCTCTACAGGAACTAGCAAGGCCACTGGACACTCAAGGCGCTCTTAACCTCTGTGGTCTGGAGATAGTGGAGGTACGCGCTAGAGTCTTCCCTCGACAGCCCTAGTGGCCATCCAGGGAAAACGGAAAGACCTTAAGTAGAAGGCAAACTCCTATCACCTGGTTCAAGTCCCACCTGCTCTCAGGAAATCGCCCTCCCTGGCCTCATTGACCTCCTCACCGGTGAGCCTCAGCAGCTGCCTGCTGCTCAACACCGAGATCACAGACATTCCCTTAGGTCCAAATCTTGGCTGGCTCTATCCTTTCCTCGCCTAATTCCCAGGCAAGAATTGGATCCTCTTGTGGTTTTGATCACAATTTTCTTATCAACCCCTGCTATTCCTGATCTTGGCTTCCAGACCAGAATTCTAGTTTTGTCGTGATGTCTACTGAAGAGCTCACTGCACTGTGTTTAAAAAGCTCATCTCCTACTCCATCTGCTCAAACACCCTGGAGTTTCAAGAAAGCCTGCCTGCCTCCATGCCACCCTGGAGGGTCCAGGCTCGTGTCCAAGTGCGTGCTCCCTGCTTCTAAGTGCACCTTTCAGATGCGCAGGCACACTTACTCCCAACAGCCCCTTACTGAGCACACGCTTCACCAGGCATCCGCTCTGCCATCCCCTGGACACAATAACCTAAATCCAATTCTCTCCAAACTGGGCAGCGCCGTCCTGAACCTTCCAGGCTTTGTGTATCCTTTCCTTCACAAAACCTGTTCCAGGATTCGCATCACCCCACAGAGAAGGAAATCCTTGCTACTGAGCTGAGAGCTACTCAGTCTAATCTCTCTCACCCCAACTACTGAATCAAACACAAGTGGCCCTCCCACGCCAGCTCTGCACCCATTCTACACCGGGTTCAGAAAGGAAAGACGCACCTTCATAGGCCCTTCGTTGTGAAGCTTCTCCTGAGAGCTCAGAGCTGTGAATGCAAACCCATTCTCAAGATTAAAAAAAGAACATCAGAAAGCCATGTGGAAACTAAGTCCTCAAACCACAAGGCAGCCCTTCTCTTCAGGGTTGTTCCAAACTAAAAAGCATTTGAACCAAAGGATTTCTGTTAACCTCTGCAGACAGGCTTAAGAATCTGATGTATGTAAGTATCAAGAATTCCAAGGACTCTTCAAAGCCTGTCAAGGGATCAGGGGATCCCAAGGTCGCAGGTTAAGCACCTTTGTTTTACGCTCAATGGTCCACTATCTTGTAGATTCACTTTATTTCATTCAGTCAGTCTTCAAAGACTTTGCCCCTGGCAACAGACCAAAGCTGCTGCTGTAGTCATTCCTAAAACAGAGGATGGAAGTCCTGGTACTTTCTCTGACTCAATGCTTTCTAAAGTGGGATAAATGCATCCTTTGCCCCCAGCCCACAAGCAGCAGGGAAAAGGAGCTCATGAGGCCTGAGGGGCCGGGGGTGGGAGAACGCTAAGTAATTGTTCATCCTTCCCTACCCCACTCTCACCTGGCCAGGACTTTGCCCTCCCTTCCTACTGCCTATTACCATCACCTCTCAAGAAGGTGCACCTAGTTGTGACTCAACCCTGTGGAGGAGGGGGATTCTCTTCTAGAATCTTCAGCTGTGGCCCATGACCGACAAGCGCCATAACTGGCTCTCTGCTCCCTTCCCTTCAGCCAGGGCTCCTCCTAAGATCTAGGTCGGGTTGCTGTCTTGGATGATCCAAGGGCCCTTTTTCCGGGGCTGACAAGCCCCTCAGTCAGAGCAAGGTATGCAGGTGGCAGGAGGGGCCTTTTGAGGGAAGGATCGAGTCACTTCCACAGCAAGCAGCCCCGGGAGTCGTGCCTGACACCACCCTCCTTACTCCCCCACAGCCCCTTTGTCTTTCTGCTCAACCCCTCTTCAGTGAGTTCCTGAACATTCTTCTTCCCCCACAACTTCCCCCAGCTTGTCAGATGCTGCTGCTGATGGCTGTGAACCTCCCCTCTCAGTCCCCCCCCTCAACTGCTGGGTACAGAAGAACATGCACCCAGCATGGTTTTGGCAGCCAGAGGAGGAAGGGGGCCTCCATAGGGACAAGGCCAGTGGGGGGGGGGGTGTGGAGAGGAAGAAGGGGGTGGGTTAGCAGCAGGAGGCAGAGAGAAGGGGAAGACCGGCAGAGACAGTGGCTGGGTGGGGGAGGGGCTCATTAGAATAGTCAGCAGGCCCTTGGGGAATGCCCATTTCCAGTTCTCTCCAACCCTTCTCCCCAGGCAAACAATAGGTGAAAGAAGGGTTAACTCCGCTCTCAGCATTTGGGTTAAAGGCTCCTACCCTCAGTTCAGAAGGCCCCACACCAAAGAAGCCAAAAAAGATTGGGTGGGATCAAGGAGATGCTACTGCCACCCACCCCCCCAACCGCATCTCAAGGAAGCCACTTGGCCCAGCCTCTGCGCAGCCTGGGGAAGCCACTGATAACTGCGCTCCCTCTGGAGCCAAGGCCTCCCTGTCCAGTCCGTCCCCTTCCCTCCAACAGCTGTCCCGCCTCCACCGCCCTCTTCCACTCAGGCTGCTTCCGTTCCAAAGGTCAAAGTTCTGGGCGCCCACGCGGACTCCCTGTCCCCTGCACTTGTCCCATCGCGGGGGGTGGGAGGAGTGGGGGGAGAGCAGGCAGCCCCTCAGGCCCTGCAATGTGCCACAACCCATCAGTGTCACACTGCTCCTGCTCCACCACCACTTCTGTCTGGTGGGCTGCCCAGTGGCTCGCAGGGGCACACAGGAGAGGAGACGCTAGCTCCCTTAGGAGTATGCAAGGTTGGCATGGCCCGAGAACAGTGTGGCCCACCAGCCAGAACACAGGTCAGCCAGGAAGTGCCAGCAACCCTCTACCAGCAAAAGCACTGTCCCAGGCAGGGCCTGACCCCTGTCTTCATTCACCACTGCCCCGGGGCTCAGGGCAGGCTGCTCCTCCTGGCCTCTGACCAGCCAGGTCCCACCTGAGCGCTGGGTTAAGTGGGGCCCTGGGGCTCCTGAGGGAGTGGGAGGGACAGCACGAACTCAGCATCTCCAGAACTCGGGCCAGGGAGGCACACTGGACTCTTCCCAAACCCAGAGATCCTCCCACCGGCCCCCGCCGCCTCCCCGCCCCCCGTCTCCCCAGGGCTGCGTCCAGGAACCTACCCATAAGGCCAGGTGCAGCCCCTCTGCGGTCCGGCTCAGGTGTGAGCCCCGGCCCTGAAGCTCTGTAAGTAGCTGCCCGACTGGGGGGAGGGGAAGGGGGCGAAGGGGCTGGGGGCGGAGGGGGCCAGAGAGAGGGGGAGGGGGGTGGTGGGGGGGAGGGCTTGAACATTTCTTTGTCTAGAACTCCAGGTCACGTGGGCTCGCTGGAGGGCCTGGTTGGCTGCGAGCGGGCCGGGGGAGGGGGCCGGCTCTCCGACGCTGGCAGTGGGCCAGCCCCTCTCCTTTGGTCCGAGGGGCCGGGGGGCGAGCCAGGGCCTCCGCCCGTTCCCAGGGCCCCGCCCAGGCCGGCGGCCCGCCCCCTCCCGCCCGGCCGGGCCTTCCCCGCCTCCTGGCCCCCTACTCGGTGAGAGCCGGGCACGCCTGGGGGACGAGGCGGAGAGCCCCCGGGGAGCGGGGCGAGGACCGCAGGGGACCTGGGAGGGACGGGTGGCGGAGGTGAGCTGGGAGCGCTGAGAACCGGGAGCGCGGGTGAGAGGAGCTAGGTTTCGGACAGTCTGGGAGAGCCAGGAGAAAGTTGTTGAAAGTGAATCCCTTAGAGGCACTACCGAAAAAAAAAAGAGAAGAAAAAACTTACAGATGAACGAAGCGGCCCAGGAAGCCGCAGGAAAACTCAGTACAAAGATGGACAGAAGGCACAGCACAGAAATTTGGAAGGCTCCAAAACACGAACGTTGGGGCAGGGGCGCCCCTTTTACAGTCACACTACAGGTGGGCAGAGGGAGGGCCTCGCAGGAGCTTGCGGAGGTCAGACTCGGAAACCTGTGTCGTGGCAGGAGCCCTGGCTCCCTCAGGGCACTCTGGGTCTGACATGGATTTTTCTCCTTTTTCTGCTCCAAGGTGGAGCCATTCCTTCATTCTTAGTTCAAACTTGGAGCCATTTCCTTTATTCCCAGGCCTCCACTGGAGCCTCCAGGAGCAGCCACAACCTTTTCAAGTTCCAGCCTCCATGTCCCTGCCCCCACAGAGGACACACATCTCCACCCACATCAGATAAGGAGCCCCCTGTTGCCCTGCCCTCAAGGAACTGACAGAGGCTACTAGACTTGGAGGGTGAGGAGAAGGTCACTGAACCAATCTTCTGTAAACTTCACTTAATCATAAACAGCAAGCCAAGTGGGGAGGAGGGCTAGAAAGACAACAACAACAAAAAGGGTGGTTTGAAGGACAGAAGGGACCAGCGGCCTGGCCAGAGCATGAATCAGAGTTGGAATGTGGGGTAGATAAGAAAGATGTCAAGCTGAGAAGGGAGGAAAATCTGTCCGTGACCAGCTGGGTACAAGCTAAGCTTTAGGGGGCAGTGAAAGGTGCCTGTGGACACAACCCACAGCAGCGAAGACCAACTGCAGGGTTTCTGAGGAGACAGATGAGTGGGGGGGCTTGGGAAAGGCTGGCCTAGTTTCAGTTTGCAGAAGTGGATTAGAAAAGCAGAGGAACTGAAGGCAAATGCTGTCTCCAGCTCTTGTCAGCCCATCTGAACTTGGGTCTGGCTCCACCATCGTAAGGTTGGACAACCTGCCTGGCCCCAAGAAGTCCTTGAACAACCAGCCCCGGAACTTGTCTCATTCACAAAACCACAGAGAGGACATCTGCCCTCCCCTGGCCCTAGAATACCATCCTCTCTTGAGCAAACCAGCTCAAGGAGGTGCCTACAGAAAGAGATCAAGGGCTGAGCTGTGAAGAAGGGCCCACCACGCTCCTGGGGCTCAGGACCTTCCAGGGACCACCAGAGCAAGCCAGCCCTGAAGGAGGAAGACTCCAA